AAAGGAACACATAGGGGCTTGTGGTAAAATGAGCCCCAGGCTTTGAGCTTGGCTTGTCTTCTTCCAGATTGCAAATGTTAATCATAACATAGAGATAGTGTTTACTTAGTGCTTAGCATTGTGCTCAGACATGATTTGGTTAAATGGATCTGGTTCCTTGTCTAGCTTTTAATCTTTCATGTTACTTTCCTGTGGACCTCCATCCATGCTCTCCGTATTATTTGTGTTTATCTATGCCTTTCTTTTTCTCACATTTAATGCTTTTCTTTTTTGTTGCTGTAAACATTCTTTAGCCCTCCGTGTCTCTTTTTTAAACACTTTCTTGCTCTGTTTCTCTCAGCTCTGTCCGTCTCCCCTCCAGGCGTGGCCCGTGTCAAGTTAACAACACCAGGCAAGGATAATTCCCTTACTCACTCTGTGGTTTACTTTCCCCCCTCTGCTCTTCTCCTTCTTTCACTCCATCCCTCTGTCATCCCTTCCTCCTCTTTCATCCATCCTGCCATTCAACCGTGTCTCATGGTCTTTTCATTTCGTCTGTTTCTATCCATCTGCTTTACCCCTCCTTCTTTTCTCCTCTAGCGGGCAAACCTATTCTACCCAGTTATCTCTTTATCCTGTCTGCTGATTTGCCACTCCTTGCCGCCCAGCATCAGTCCATCCATCTGTCTTTCTGGCTATCTCTCCATCTTTTTCTGCCTCTCAACGGATCAATCTGGCTTTCAATGTGTCCATACGTCCCCCTGGCTGTCCTCTTTTCTCTCCTACTCCACCTTTTCAACCCAGACACCATCCCTCCCCATCTGTGCCAGGTATTAAAAGTTAACCTCATCGTTTCATTTTTTCAAGCCTTCCTCTCGTCACAATGTGCCATGAAATCGGAACTAGGGATGCCATTAGAGCAGAACTTTAGATACCAAGTTGATGACACTGGTTTTTCTTTAGGATCGCAGGTAATGTTCATGGCTAAAGACTAACGTACCCTCATTACCCGGTGCTATATTTTTAACAACAACCTGTAATGACATCTGCAGGAGAAGCGCTAGTTAACGATAGCTGTTAGCAGCCGGTGAGCAGTACAATCCTGCTTTGCTAAAAGACACTTTCATGGAAAGTACAGGTTCCATTGAGTTCCATTGCAATATGTTCAAGTTCAATTGAGTAAAAATAAGTATTGAGAGAACGTGTCTTATACAATGATTTGTTGTGATGTAATCTTTCAAAATGTAGTTTTTCATGAGAAACCGGAATAAAAAACAGTCCTATTGAATTAAGTATCAATATTCCTGGAGTTGGCATAGACTACTACACTCTGGTAATGTGACATCCATATTGGGGAAAAGTACCGTAGTACATATTCTAGTAAAGTCATGTTGGTGATGAGTGTTTTTACTCATCTACCCACCCAGATTACAAACCATCAGTCATGTAACGATACAGACATAACAGAAAGAAATAGAAAAGAAAATAATCCTAAAACTAGTGACAGTTGCTCGTTATGGCAACAAAACCGTCTTTATACCCAGATGATCTCTAGCCATATTGTAGCCCCGCCGTAATCTCCTTGAGAAGGTCATGGTCTCTACATGCTTCAGGGAAACGTCTCTACAACTGTGCACGCTCTCTGGCCTAAATCCACCTACAGGCTTCAATACAGCATCACATTATTATAATGAAGCAGTTTGTATGCATCAGTTTATCAAGGGTCAATGATGACATCATACAGAGTTCACATTCACCAACACACTGCCTCTAACCTCTACACATAGATTTACATTCTTACTGTGCTTTAGCGGTTGTAAAACTCAATTTATATTAATATATGCAACAGCAGAGGCATAACAGTATAGCCCATATCATCAGATTTCAACAGCAGTGTGAATATACAATGCTCTTAAACCTTATACAGCGCGTTCAAAGAAACCATGAGAAACTGTCTTTTTGTCCTGGTCCAAATCATACTTTTTTATACAAATCTAAGTCTCAAACTGAGTGGAAGCACACTTTCTGCTTACAGCACACAATTTATGACAGAGCGGACTGAATATGTCAGCATATACAGTATGTGTGAACACTTTCGTGCAGACACCAAAAAACGTTAAACCAAACCACATGGGTGTCCATTTTGGACTATATCCGGCCATTAACAGTTTAACACCTTGCACTAAACTGTTACTGGCAGGAAAAGACTCCATCATTCCTCCTCTTCATGTCATACGTCATGTCAAGTATAACAATTTGAATCCCTGCATTATATAGTGACAAAATACCAGGGTTTAAAAGAATCATAATTGAAATCTCTGATGCAGAAACGGTCTTGCCCTTGATCTTGTAAATTGTGGCTTCAGTGCTCTTCTAAAACAGCTGCTTGCAGGATTTATATTGTGACATGTCTTAATCCTGAAGTCAATGTGTAATAAACCGGCTGCTTATTATCATCAGAAGCAGTAAGGCTACCTCCTCCTGTGACCTTGTCCCCATCCACAGTAACAATAGAACAGAGGAGAGCCAACATCAAAAAGCCAGATGTCACATGCTAAGAAAATCACTGATTAAATTACATAGAGAGAAGGAATGGGAGTAAATGAGAAAGCAATAAACCCTCATCTGTCTTTACTCCATCTTCTCTCACTTCGTCTCTCTGTCTCGTAACCTCTCATCATTCTTTTGCAGTTGGCATTTTTACCCTGACTGGATAAAGTCATTCAAAAGTGGTACGAAAAGCATGTTAAATATCTTACTGTAACATTTATCTTCATACTTGGGTATAATTGCTATAAGAAATGAGACCTTGGTCAGAATGATTGGTAGCCTCTGTCTCAAACCAGTGGTATTGTTGGGTCTCTTTCAAGTTGAATGTTGTGTTTTTAAATCCTTTCCAAGCTCGACTTTAAGTTAGAACTTACTTTTCCATCTGCATGTGACACCTCCCATTATCTGCCGCTGTGAGAAAACTGGAAATATCCGCTCTATTTGGACTGGCACAGCGGGGCCTCTCCATGCCTTGTTCAATAAAACTCTCCTTTGACACTCAGTATTACAGTAATGTAGATATATTCATTTGCTGCTTTATTCCACTGCATGTATCTTCCTTACGCAGTTTAACAGATTAGGTGTAAAAGCTTGAGACACATCATCTTGCCAGAAGTCCTTTTGGTTATTGGTATTTATTCAGATTAAGTGGTAATGAAATATTGCTTCTGAATGTATTTCATGTTATCACGTTTGCACTGCTGTCTGTTTCAAACTGAATATCCCTCGAGACAATACATGGGATTAAATCTTGTGACATATATCCCTCACACATCGCCCTTCCTCTTTCCTGCTGCCACAGACAGTACAGACAGAGAAGCAGAGAGAATCAATAAGAACCAATCAGCACCAGACAAAGATGGACAAGAACCTTTTCTCGCTCGTCTCTCTCTACTTTAATGTAAAGTCAGGCAATCCTTTTTCTGTCCCTCTTTTCATTCTTTCCTTTCCTATGTCATGCACCTTCTCTTTCCTTTCAACTTTCTCTAAATCCAACCTTCAGGTCCGAAAGCCGTTAGGACTTAGATTTGGGTTTTCCTGTAGAGCAGCTCACACGACGTGCATCCTTTCTGCATATATTATTATCTGGTTAAATCTATTTTGTTATAGCTAAATTTAACCAGAAACAACCTGAATGTTCATAGTAGTTTCTGAGGCTTTAGAAAAGAAACCGTAATGGAGCGAATTACATATTAATTATTGCAAATCATCTATGGGATGAGACAAGTACAAGTCCCCTCAGGCTAATTTCTATATTAATATTCTTACACAGTTCGACACAGCATCAAATGGCTTATAATTCATTCATAAACATGGCATGTTATAAGCCTTAGGAGACTCATTTAACCAGGTCGTGTTTTGAAATAAAGTGTAACTTGTATTCAAATATGCGATACAATCCACTAAAGACACCAGGGAAAATGTTGGCAGTGCCTTTAATGATTAGTATTTCTGCAAACATGTATAGTTGTACGGTAGTAGCAAGTCTTTTAGTCTTCTTTTTGTTTCTATATAATACCACATGCTGAAATATAATCTGCATATGTTGCATAAAAGCCCTAAATGGTTTCTCCTGCAAGTGTCTACTGAAAACACAATCATGTTCTTTTCCTGGATTACCATTGCCCTTTCCATAGCTTACCACGGTATATCCATTTCTATGAAACTGTTAATGTAGTTTATCACATTATATCCAGGGGCTTCACCGAATGAATGGGGGATTTGGTTTTCACTGTTTGAAGATTTATCTGGTGGGTTTCACTCAGGGACACGACTGTCTAGTCAAGATTGTTAAGGAATTTTCTGAGTTCATGTTTGTTTAAAGAGGGAAGTGCTTGTACATGGATCTGCTACTGTGTGTGTGTGTGTGTGTGTGTGTGTGTGTGTGTGTGTGTGTGTGTGTGTGTGTGTGTGTGTGTGTGTGTGTCAGAATAAGCCAATGGAATTGTGCTCTCATGGCCAGATCAGCACTTACTGAAAAGTCCTTGGTGTAAATAAAAAATCTCACATCCTTGAAACCTTTAGTTGTGCGTATGAGTGTATTTCTTTCTGCTCTACCTTGAACTTTTGTAACACTTGAGTCTTATTTATGTTAAGTTAATGCTTTCTGATTTCTAAAGTGCGTTAAACTTTCTTTGAACCCATGTATCAAGTGCAAAATATATATATTTCATTTAATTGACAAAGCTTAAATAAAGAAATTGGAATAAATATGCATGTGTAATTGAAAGTAAAGAAAAGGGTGAACATGCAAAAGCAAATTCAAAGTCAATGTGTGGGTTAACTAGGTTAAAACTTGATCTTCAGCATGTCATACTGAGGAGTAAGAATGAGGCAATTTGCTTCATTGCAGAGGACAAGAGAGCAAGAGAGTACTTTTATGTGTGTGTGTGTGTGTGTGTGTGTGTGTGTGTGTGTGTGTGTGTGTGTGTGTGTGTGTGTGTGTGTGTGTGTGTGTTTTTGTGGCATACCTGTAAACAGTAGTGGGTGGGTAGGTAGCGATGTCGTAGATGAGTCTTATGTGTCCCTGGTACAGCTCCAGAGCCAGGGGGTCGTGGTCTTCCTTATACAACAAAATACCGTTGTCTTTATCTGTAGCCACCTGGAGGGACAGAAAGGTAAGAAATAAAGAAAGAAAGTAATAATTGAAGACAGTACAAAGGATGACTGCGGAAACACACCTCAATCCATCACCTTCCTTCATGCAATGCCGATTGCCTTTGTTATATTACAAGTAAGCTAATTGATTTTAACCTCTGGTGATTTGTGTGAACATTTTTTTAACTTGTTTTTGAAAGTGAGAAAACGCTTTTGTTACTACTGGGTTTCACTTCCTTACCATTGACTTAGCTTTGTAAAATCTAGACCGCTCAAGAGAACCTGGCAAAGCCCCTACATGTAACTGAGCTAGTTCCTAGTTTGATATAAGACAGAAATTGATGAAACATGAAATACTAATGCACTTTGATTAAAGTTGGTAGCTCACAACCCGTTAAAGAACCTCTTCCAAAATGAGAGAACCTGTAAACTCCATCGCACACGTCTCTAAAACAAGGTCACTCACGCCTCCCTCCCGCACAGACACACTTGACATGTCACACTCGCTCGCATGTGCCGCTGAGCGCTAACTAACTACTAGCGAGTGGAAATGGGGCCAAGGGGCCAAACGCTTAACACTCTGGCTTCAATGGAGCATAGCCAAGTCAACACCTGCTAACAAGCTGCTGGAGAAAAAGAAGAGGGTCGAGGCGGAGTGAGAAGACAGAAAAAAGAAAGAAGAAATGTAGAGCACCGTAGAGAGAGAGTGAGAGCGGGATGGAAGAAAGAGTGAGATTTAGGAAGGTGGGTGAAGAGAGAGCTGGTATGCAGACGCAAAGAAAAGAGGAAAAGTGTTAAAGAGAAATAGAAACACATCCAGTGATTTATGAAGTGCTGTGGCCCTTTCATTTTCTCTCTCTTGCCTCTGAGTCAGGGCCTCTTGGTATACTTTGAACAGTCTTGGCACTGACATTGAAAGCTCCTGGCAGGAAAGCAGAGGCTTACACACACATACACATTCACTCACACTCACATAGGTCCAAACAGGTGGTAAATATCAATTAGTCTGCCCTTCTTTTCTTGTTTCTCTTTCACGCACTTACACGCTCATTTACAAAGAGAAGGAAAATACGTCTTTATTAGGATATTATTCTCAGGTGTCTGAAATGTATGCTCTGTGGGAATGAGCGTGTGTGTGTGTGTGCGCATGGAAACAGAGGGTGTAGCAGATGTTTGCTTTGCTTCGTCGGCACTAAGTCGTGCAACTCTATAGGTTTGATTTGAGCAGCTCGCAGCTCTATTCCAAGTAGACCATAAATGTTTTCCAAGTAGCGCAGCAGAATATGGCTTTTGTACTTACAAATGTTGACTTACCATTAAAGATGGGATACATTACAATATATGTTTAGCTTAATCCGTAAAAGGAAACGTTGTACAAACACCTAAGAGACCAGATTTCTACAAAAAACCTTGTTAGCAGAGGTCAAAGTCGGCCATACCTGTAATGAAATATGCGCGGTGGGACGGAGTTTCGCACTTGGCAGCTCGACATATCCATCCCGACCCAGGAAGTGAACAGTGGCCATCTTGTCACATTTGCTGCCGTAGAAACCGGGCATGCAGCGGCAGACGGGTTCCCCAGCAACCACCAGGCACTGGGCGCCGTTCTGGCAATCGGATTGGTCGCAGGGGCTGGTCTGAAGCAAGATCATTGGTGGAGGGTTTTCACAGAAAAGCCCGCTGAGGGAGGAGAAGGTAACACAGGATGAGATAACTTGTTCAAATGGCTTTAATGAGGTGACTTTCTGTGTCAAAGTCCTCTGATAAAATGTGTTTAATACCCGCTAGGTTTGTCATTGCATTACATTCGGAGATTGTTGAAGCTGTACAGGTAATATTCTTTAAAGGAAATGGACATGTTTTATCAGTATGACACAGCAAACAGATTCTACATTGTTGTCCACGCTATCTTCTGGCATCTTTGAAACTTTCTTTGAATTTCCTCTCTTTGCCCATAATGCATCCATCTGTCCACTGCTGTCTGTCTCCTTCATCTGTTTGTTTCCTGCATACCTACGACTTCCTCTCTCTCACCTTCTGTCTCTCTCTATCTGTCAGTCCCTTGTGATGAATTTGTTTCTCTCAAAACAACAGTCTCTGCTATAATTAACCACATGGAGCTGCATCTGTTGCACACACACTCACACACACACACAAACACACTCATGCACGCAGTGGGTCGAAATAGTCAAGTGCCATCTGTATATCCTCCCAGTCTGGCGCTGCAGAGAGTGGCTGTTTTGGTTTCTATTAAACCCATTTTCCAAGACTCTTACCTGAATCCCTCCTTACAGACGCAGATATATCCGTTAACAGCATCCACACACTCCGCTCCGTGTTGACACTTATTCTCCAGACAGTCATTATAGTCCTGCTCGCAGTGTTGGCCCACATAGCCCGGTAAACACTCGCACCTAGTGGCATGGAAATATGGAGATTACTGAGTGTGTGCAACAGGCTGATTACAGATGCTTTACTGCACCAAGAGGTGACAGGTTGCAGTTCTTTTCTACAGCGTGTATTTTAAGAAACAGCTGGACCATGGCCTGTTTGGGGATTGATATTGGCGAATCATAATAAAAAATGTTTTATTTTATTGTGTCTCTGGCTCTATAAGCTGCTTTAGCTGAAAAAAGAAACAACATTTAGATGAGAGAATAAGGACAAATGTTAAATTGAGTAATATCTAAGGAAAAGTGGTGTTAAGTACATTATACTTGTGTGGGGTGAACAGATTGTTTATAAAGTGCCATCTGTTGCCCGAAGCAAAATGTCTTATCTTCCAAAGAATGTTTTATTTCAGTTATACGACAAAATAATTAGCGTTTTATTTCATTTATCTAATGGTTAAAATATACAAATCTTCAGTTTTACACATAACAACAGCAAATAAATGGTAAAGTAATTAGGTACGTTGAAAAATAATGGCAGGATAATGGTGATGCATTGCTGAAAATTGCCCACATTTAAGCCAGTAATAAGGAAGACGATGATAACATTAGCTAAATGACTGCAAGTGTTTGTGTAACGGCCCGTCCAGACTACAGCTTCAAAAAAAGCTTGGCTTGTCTGAAGCTCGACCAACAACCAATCACATGAATCTCCCGCCCCTGACACACAAGCAGCGGTTTGATTGGCTAGAGCTTGTACTGGCATATGATTTGATTGGCTGTCGCTTCCACCGAAAGCTTCAGAAGCTTCAAAAGTTGAACATTGCTCAACTTTTGCAGCCTGAAACACCAGGAAAGCTCCGCTCTGCTTCCCACAATGCAGTTCGGCGAAAAGTGACGTCACCCCATTGGAAGAAGCTTCCAACGCCGCTGTGTGGACGGGCCGTGAGAAAACCAGGTTACGTCACAGAGAGCTGGACAGTTTGGGTTAAAACAGAGGAAACTTGGATTTCTCTGGGTTTTTTGTCATGTTGGCAACAGGTTTAATGGCAAGGCTGTGTCATGGTCTAAGGGGCCTATCTGTAAGGTCTTACATTTTAAGAAAATATATATTTTAGAGCAGCGCAGTACTATAACTACGGCAGAGACCAGTAAGAAAGCCAGGTAATGTCACCGAGTGATGGACAAGTTGGACCTTGATGAAGAGTCATTCCCTAATTTGTGGAAACTTGGGATTTTTCTCTCTTAGGAGCTCATGTTGGCAGCCGTAATGTCTTAGATATATATATTTTAGAGCAGCACAGTACTATAACTACTGCAGAGACCAGTGAGAAGGCCAGGTAATGTCACAGAGAGCTGGACAGTTTGGGTTAAAACAGAGGAAACTTTGATTATCTTCTGTTCCTGGGTCATGCTGACGGCAGATTTATTGAGAAGGCTATGTCATGTTCTGAGTGGGCCTACCTGTAAGTTCTTTAATATATATATTTTAGAGCAGCACTATAACTACTGCCGAGACCAGTGAGAAGACCAGGTTATGTCACCGAGTGCTGCACAGTTCGGGTTATAAAACAGGAAACTGGGTTTTTTGTCATTTTGCCAGCAGGTTTATTGACAGAGCCGTTTCATGGTTCGAGGGGCCTATCTGTAAGGTCTTACATTTTAAGAGAAATATATTAAATTAGGGTTATTTTGTTAAGATTTTTTAAATTCAGACATTGTTATAAGGAATGATGGGTATTGGAGGGAACGGTTCTTTTTGCATCATTATTCTCGTTTTCATTGTCGGTACAAGACTACGATTGGTCTTCAGAAAACAGTCTTTACGTAAGTCTTTGCAGCAGCCCAGTATTTACACAGAGTATAACTGTAGTGCAGAGACCAGTAAGAAAGCGCTGGACATGTCAGGCTCTTAATGGAGAGGTTTACCCTAACTTGTGGAAACATATCTTTTTCTGTCATGTTTGCAGCATATTTATTGACCAGACTAGAGTCTCTTGGTCTGAGGGCTGTACCTGTTAGGGCTTAGGATTAAGTTTAGGATGAAATATCTAGTGGTCATTATTTTAGGAATGTTGCACATGGGAGGGAATGAAAATGTTTGGATAGTTATTCTAGTTTTCTTTGTAAAAATATATTTAAGAAGTCTTTAGATTATTATTATTATTATTGGAAGATATCTACTTAGTCAGAATGGTGTTCGATACATTTAGCCGTTAGTCCATATTTTTGACAACATTTTAATGATTGTTTGGCGTTACGATGCCTTTTTAGTGCAACGTCTACTTCTCCTGTAAACATTTGCACATGTAAGGAGCAGTTGAGATTTGCACCAAAGTACAAAGTCAGTGGGAAAATGCAGACGTGATGCACTGATGTCTGTTCAAATAGATAGGGTTAGTTTGCAGGCATCTTAAGACGTCTTACTCCACTGTGATGGTGTTAAGAGACGGTGATATTAAAAAAGCTTGCTAGAAATGAGG